AGGTGGCTGCGGCGGCGGCCGCTGCCGCCGCCGCCGCCCGCCCGCTGGCGCCCGCGCAGGCCCGGCCGCGGCCCAGGTAAGCGCCCGTCGCCCCCCCCGCGGCGAGGCCTCTCGCTCCGCCGCGCGCCGCCGTCCAGTCAGGGGTCCCTGCGGAGCGTCAGGACGTTACGGCGGGGGGAGGGGAGCGGGGGAGGGGCGGCGGCGCGCGGCGGGCGTCACGGGCGTCACGGGCCCGCGTCAGGCGCGTCGGCGGCGGCGCGGCCTCCATCTTGCCGGAAGGCTGCGGGCCGCGGGCTGCGGGTGCTGGGGAGGGCATTAGGCCGGGCTGCATGGAGAGGGCCGCGTGGCTACCCCCACTTCCCGTGGGACCGCGTGAATTCTCCCCTTCCCTGGGGGCCTTGTGGATGCCCCTCTCCCTTGGGGGCCTTGTGGATACACCCCCTCTCGTGGGGGCCTGGTGAATGCCCCCCCTTTCCCGTGGGGGCTGCGTGCGTGCAACCCTTTGGTGAGACCCGTATCTCATTGGTCCCCTTGGTAGGAACCAATCAATATGGGTCCATTGCCAGTAATGACCTGTCACATATTTGTTTAACATTATAGTTCATGTAGTCGAGCGACACTTCCAGGGAATCAACGTTTTCTTTCTTTGCTAACACTGCAAATACAGTTTCAGTTACATCAGTATTTTTTAACTTACAAAAATCTGTGCATAACTGAAGTATATAACTTGATGAGTTAAGTGTGCACCCATAAAACCACAATCTATGCTATTAACCTGTCAGTCACCTCCAGAAGTTTATTCCCGTTCTCATTAGTTTGTGATAAGAACGCTTAACTAGCAAAATTTTAAGTATACAGTACGATATTGTTAACCATAGGTCCTATGCTGTACCTTAGATTTCTAGGACTTAGTCATTTCGCATAACTGAAGCTTTGTACTTTTTGATGTGTCCCATTCCCCCTCCACCAGCTCCTGGCAACCACCATTCCACTGTCTGCTTCTCCGCGTTTGACTATTATAGATTCCTCATGTAAGTGGTAGCATGTAGTATTTTGTCCTGTGTCTGGCTTATTTCCCTTAGAATGACGTTCTCTACATTCATCCACGTTGTCACAAATGGCAGAATTTCCTTTTTTTTTTTTTTTTAAGGCTAAGTTATATTTCATTGTATGTGTATACCAAATTTTTATTCAGTCATCTGTCCGTGGGCATTTAGGTTGCTTCCATATCTTAGCTATTGTAAATAACGCTGCAGTGAACATGGGGTGCAGGTGTCTCTTGGGTATCCTGATTTGTTTTCCTTCCGATGTACACCCAGAAGTGGGGTTGCTGAACATATGGTAGTTGTATTTTTAGTCTTTTGAGGAACCTGGGTACTACCGTTTTCATAGTGGCTGCACCAATTTATGTTCCCACCAACAGTGTAGGTCAGTCCGTTTAGGGTAAAACCAAATGGATTAAATAAATTACAAATGTAACAAGATAAATTAAGCAGACTGTTAAAAAATTGTTTCTTTGTAGGAAGTGTAAAACTTTGGGAAGACATACTGGACGGGGGGCGGGGTGGGGCGGGGATTTGTACATATACATCATACACTTAAGAGCCGGGTGCGTCCTGGCTGGGTGTGACGCAGGGTGTGGTCGAGACTGGTCAGCTAGTGCACTGCGCCCCCCTTGCCCCCAGGAGGGCAGGGCCAGGAAGCCCAGCTTCTCAAGGAAATGCAGGACTAGGGGGACCACCTCTAGGGATGAATTCTTGTGACATTTTTCAAGAGAAGCCGGAAATCTGATTTTTAAAATGTGAACCCTGTAAAATTTGAAAAAGCTGGCAACTAATTAAAAATTTTGAAACACAGTGAGAATCAAAGAAATTGTGCTGGGACTTCCCTGGTGGTCCAGTGGGTAAGACTCTGCGCTCTCAATGCAGGGGGCCTGGGTTCGATCCCTGGTCAGGGAACTAGATCCCGCATGCATGCTGCAACTAAGAATTTGCATGCCACAACTAAAGATCCCGCATGCTGCAATGAAGATCCGGCGTGCCGCAACTAAGACCCTGCGCAGCCAAGATAAATAAATAAATATTAAAAAAATAAAAGTTGTGTCCGTTGGCCACTGCTTTGTGACCTCTGCTATGTTTCTAGTGGTATTTTTATTAAAAAAAAATTTGTGATTATTTGGAAGACAACGGAAAGTCAGATCTGAATCCAATGTACTGACTGCACACTCACATTTTTGTCCTGTTTTTGTATATTTATGCCTAAGAATGCTACTTTAGAAATACTTCCTCCTATCTTCTTTACCTCAAGGTTAATTGGGAAAGAAGAATTTTGAAAACTTGATATTGGAGAGGCAGGAATTCCGGTTTGTGTGTTCCCACTGCTCAGCGCTCTGTGCGGTTTTGAGATGTGGGTGAGGACAGCCACCCATAGGGTGGGTCCCTGCCTTTCTGCAGCTTTGAGCTCAAGCGTGGCTTTCTGGCCCCCTTGGAGTCCACCCGGTGAAAGCAGCGGTACCTCGGTGAGAGCCAAGCACCACGGAGCAACGTTACTTTAAGGGCGATTTTAAAGTGGTCTTTTTTTGGGGGCAACGTGCGGCTTGTGGGATCTTAGTTCCCTAACCAGGGATTGAACCCGTGCCCCCTGCATTGGAACCGCGGAGTCTTAACTGCTGGACCGCCAGGGAAGCCCCCCTACGTGTAGCTTTTTGAGGAACTGCCAGACTGATTTCCACAGCGGCTTCACCGTTTTGCTTGTCTGCTAATGGTGCACAGTGTTTCCAGTTTCCCCGCATCCTGACCACATGTACTTTCTGTTTGTTTATAATAACCATCCTGGTGGGTGTGAAGTGGTATCTCCTTGTGGTTTTTGTGTGCATTTCCCTAGTGATTAGGGATGTTGGGCATCTTTCCAGTGGCTTACAGGTTATTTGCGTATTTCCTTTGGAGAAATGTCTACTCTGAGTCCTTTGCCCATGCTTTAAGTTGTGTTCTTGTTGAGCTGTATCCTGGATGTGAATCCCTTGGCAGACACGTGCTTTGCAGGCACTGTCTTCCAGTATGTAGGTTGTCTTTTCAGTCTCCTGAGAGTGTCCTTTGATGCACAATCGTTTTTAATTTTAACGGAGTCTAATTTATGTGTTTTTTCTTTTGTTGCCTGTGCTTTTGGTGTCATATTCAAGAAATCATTGCCAGGGAACCCCCTGATGGTCCAGTGGTTAGGACTCTGCGCTTTCACTGCCGAGGGCCTGGGTTCCATCCCTGGGCAGCAAACTAAAATCCCACAAGCTGTGCTGGTGCAGCCAAAAACAAAGAAAAAAAGAAAGAAAAGAAAAAGAAAAAGAAATCTTTGCCAAATCCAGTGTCAGGAAGATTTTCCCTTGTGTTTTCTTCTAAGGGTTTTACAGTATTTGCTCTTATGTTTGGATCTTTGATCCGTTTTATGTTAATTTTTGTCTGTGGTGTAAGGGTCCAGCCTCATTCTTTTGCCTGCAGATGTCCAGTTGTCCCAGCTCCACATATGGATGAGACTGTCCCCATTCCCCATTGAATGGTCTTGGCACCCTTGTCAAAAATCAGTTGACCATATATGCCAGGATACAGTAGCATTTTTTTTTGGCCAATTTAATTTTTTTAAAAGATTCGCAAATGGTAAACTTTTATGGTTGTTTGGTGTACAGTTCTATGAGTTTAACACCTGTATAGATTCATCGTGTAGCTGCCCCCATGATCGGAATACAGAACAATCCCGTCACCCCCAGAATCTCCCTTGTGCCGTCCTTTTATGCCTATCCTCCTCCCCCAGCCCCTGGCACCAATGATTTGTTCTCTTATCACTAGAGTTTCGCCTTTTCCAAAATGTCATGTAAGTGGACTCATACAGCCTACAGGCCCACCTTGTTTTATTGGGCTTCACTTTTTGTGCTTCGCAGATACTGTATTTTTTACAAATTGAAGGTTCGTGACAACCTTGCATCGCGCAAGTCTATCAGCGCCATTTTTCCGACAACATTTGTTCACTTTGGGTCTCTGTGTCACATTTTGGTAATTATCGGAATTTTTGAAGCTCTTGCATTATTAATATGTTTGTTACAGTGATCTGTGATCCGTGATCTTTGGTGTTACTACTAAGACTCTGAGGGCTCAGATGGTGGTTAGTATTTTTTAGCAATAAATTATTATTTCATTAAGGTATGTATGTCATTTTTAGGCGTAATGCTATTGTACACATAATAGACTATAATATAGTATAAATATAACTTTTATATGCACTGAGAAACGAAAAACGTCACGTGCCTCACTTTATGGTGACGTTCACTTTATTGTGGTGGCTGATAACCTCCAGGGTCTGCGTGTGTAACCCACTCAGCGTGATTCTCTGGAGATCCATCCAGGTTGTCGCACATATCAAGTAGCTTATTTATTTATTATTTATTTATATTGCTGAGGAGTATTCTTTTGTAAGGTTTGTTTCTCTTTTCGTCTGCGGAAGGTCATTTGAGTTGTTTCCAGTTTCTGCCAGTTATGAATGAAGCTGTCATAGAATTGTGTGTACGGGTGTC